TAGTTTTATGTTCTCTGGTGGGGGGAAATTATGTTTGTTTTGTATGGCGTGTGTTGCAAGGTTTGATTTATATACTGTTGGATTTATGTATGCCTTTTTGTGCTCATTGTACCTTTGGATCAGTTTTTTCTTGGTTTGGCCGATATAGAATTTGTTGCAGTCCGAGCATTGTATACTGTATATCCCGTTTTGGTCTTTGTCTTCTTCTTTTTCATAGTTGTTTATTTTTTTTTGTATTATCTTCGTGTTCGGCTTGTATGTGATGTTGATGTTCAGTGGTTTGAAGATGTTTGTTAGTTTTTTCACCCCCTGAGATGGCATGGAAAACTAGGACGTGAAGTTGTTTTCGTCGAATAGATCATCAGGAATAACATATCTCAATTTTGTAGGTGTACAAAGTCGATTTTTCATGTTACGAAATTTTGTAATATTTTCACCTCATTTTCACCTTCTCAAACGGCCTGGAAAACTATGACGTGAAGATTTCTCTGTCGAATAACATGTCTCGTTGGTTTACTGACTTCAAACGTGGTCTTATAGACATCGATGATGCAAAATGCAGAGTGGACGACCAAATGAGGCAGTAACGCCAGAAAACATAAAAAAATTCACAAAATCGTTTTGTATGATCAAGAAGTGAAGCTGCGTGAGTTAGCTGATATTGTGAAGATATTAAAAGAACGTGTTGGCTTTATATTGCATGAGCATTCGACTATGAGAAAGCTCTGTTCCAAGTGCGCGAGCTCACTGTTGACTAACAACAAGAACGTCTTGATGATTCTGAACAGTGTTTGGCCATGTTCGAACATAACAAACCGGAAAATTTTTGGACACATGGTATGGGTGTTCAGCGAATCATTCTCTGGAATTCTTACTTTCTCTCTGTAGCAAACGCCCAAATCCATTGTGTTGTCTTCCAACCTATCACTTCCTTGTTGACCAATTTCAAAGACACACTCTGTAACATCATAAATGTTCTAATTTGAATATATAAACACCAAGTTTGCATGACACTAATGACGATATTTTTTTCAGTGTTAACGAGCGTGCGGTACCTTCAGAGTAAATCAAGTCAACCGTTTAGTTATTAATAACTATCGAAGCAACATTGGACCTTTTAGATAATAAATAAAAAGGGATTTTCACAAATCTCGCGGATTAACACCTTCAATGGATAGTGAGTGCATGGAAATGGACCTCTCCACAAGACAGAGGGACACTGCGCCACAGGACCATGCAAGCAAGATGAGAGCGGCAAAATCCGTTTTCTCCATCAGGAGCCTTGTGGATTTGGGAGAAGTCAGCGGGAATATAGAGAGGATTGAAAATGGCCCTAATGGTGAGTAAAGTTGAATATTTTACTTGAGATATGATCATCCCAACTAGCAATTTCGTATTTTATAATAGTTGCGGAAACGTTTCGGAGAAACAAATTATAAAACCGCATTTCTCCCAGAAATGTTTTCAATATGTTTATAAAACTGCTATAAATAGGAAATTGGCAACGTTTTATAAAACATTATAGTTATTATCAATATTTTGTAAGGCCTTTTACAAACACTACAACACAGTTTTATAAACATTTTGGCAGTTACTATAAAATTTGTCTAACGCTCTTAAAAAGTAGTTTTGTAAAGACTTCCCTTACTGCACTTTTGCAACATATTTAAGCGATACTTATAAAATAATCACAAGACAATTTTATAAGAGTTTTTTAGTAGTTCCAAGTAGGCCTTATAAAATATAATACAGCCGAAAACGATAACAATAAAATAAAAAAGTGTTTAAAATGTTTTCTTGAAGACGCAAGAAATAATTTTGTATTGGACACTAGGAAAATATAATTGATATGTCACCAACTGAAAACTGAGAAATAGAAAGGTTGAAGCCATTTTAAAATTTCACTTCTGCACTCATAAAACTGTTAAAGACATTGTTTATGTTTCGAAGATTGATATTTTTACTGCAAATGAAATTTTATTGACAAATATATAGCCTATTATTAGCAAAATTTAAGCGCGCCACTCATTTATAAATGTACCAAAAAATAAAAAAAAAAAATTTGTTACAAATAGAGTATTCGAACCCACCACAAAAATTAATCATACGTCAATTAGTCAACATCCCAACATCAAAGCCATTTACACGAACGAATACCTATGGATACGAACACTGTCACGAATTAATTATAGAAAGCGGGTAGCGAACCTATACAATGGAATTTGAACGCGAACGCATACGCTCAAATCACAAAATTATCGGAAACCTAGATACTCCCAAATTGATAAAATTCCGTGAATCACCTTGTATGGTTTAGCTGCTAAAACTGAACTCCCAACCAACTCATTTCTATATGAAATATTTTTTCGAAACACAACTAAGCATCCCGTTAT